CCAACGCGCATAGGCATGCTTCTGATAAGGTGGTCAATGTCCTCCTGTGGTATCTCATTCCAGGCAACCACCAACTCCTCTCGAAGTGCTTCTAGAGTCTGAGGAGGACGTTGCAAATTGAGCAATCTCCTACCCATCATATCCCACACGTGCTCAATTGGGGATAAGTCGGGAGATCTTGGTGGCCATGGTATCAATGTGACATCATTATGTTGAAAGAAGTCTATTGTGACTCTTGCAACATGTGGTCGGGCATTATCTTGTTGGAAAGTTGGATCTGCCAGGGTGTCAAGATAGGGTAAAAGATGGGGTTCTAGAACTTCGTGGATATAACGCTGCGCGGTCATGTTACCTCTGATGAAGATTAAAGGTGACCTGGAACCATAAGCTATAGCACCCCAAACCATAACTCCAACAGTATGATGAACATGTCTTTCAACAAAAAACTGTGGATTCCTCTTTTCACCACGTCGCCCTCTAACCCTGGCACGACCATCGTGCATGCCTAAACAAAATCAAGACTCGTCACTAAAGACAATACTGTTCCATTCCTGATCCCAGAGTGACCGTTGTCTGCACCACTCAAGGCGATTACGTCGGTGTTCTCGAGTTAAAGGGAGGACCCAGTGTGGCCGGTATGAAAACAAGCCAAAACTTCTCATTCGTCGGTAAACACTTCGCATGCCAATAGGTCTTCCGTGTTCTGCAAACCATTCATTTGCAATGGACCTGGTAGTGGAGAAACGGTCCCTTAAGGCCAATAATCTTAGGCGGCGATCTTCACGGTCTGTTGTTCTAGGGCGGCGTCCAGTGCCCCTTGCTCTTTGCGTATGGCCTTCTCGAAGCCATGGCTGACAACACCTAACCACAGTGCCTACACTTCTTTGCACTCTAACTGCAATTGCCCGCAAAGAAAGTCCAGCTTCCCGAAGTCCCACTATACGGCCCCTATCAAACTCACTAAGTTGACGAAATCGTACAGGTCTCCGTACTCTAGGCATCGTAACCGATCGTAAAGGATGTCAAGAACCAAAATCTGCCAACGTTGATTCTTTACTGCGGTGAAATATTCATTTTTAGAGCGTTAGTGAATTAAAAAAAAGCAGTATAAAAACCGGAATGTCCAACTCATAAGGCTGAACATTTTTTCACTTGTTATTTACAGTAAGATAAATACATTCACCAACTTTTATTAAAATAAAACCATTTAAACTGGGTGTTCGGATTTATATGTCACTTAGTATATATAAAATATCACATAAATGCTTGCCTCTGGAAGGTTTACAAACCTAGGCCATTTGGATTTTATTTTCCATCACTTTTTGCTATGTTTTGGAAAAGTTTTTGAATATCTTCCCGAGTATTGCTTTTTAGCTGCTTTATATTGCTTAGCGTTTTCTCATGAATCGTCTTTTTTAGAAATTCCCACGGAAAGAAGTCTGTGGGCGTTAAATCTGGTGGTTTTGGTGGCCAGATAACATCACGTGTTATCGCATCATATTGTTCTACAACTTGAGCTAGATAAACGGTTGATTCTTTGCGATGAATGTTTTAAGGACATTTGAGCTCTTTATTTTACCACCAGATTCAACGGATTCCTGTGGGGATTTATAAAATACACGATTTATGCCAACATCCAAACATTATAGAGTAATATTTGGAAATCTCAAAACCTAACAAGAAGTGATGGAAGAAGTGATTAAGAGTGGCCATGATTGTGCGGTTTTCAGACATGCGCATTTATATGGTTTCATTTTTCACACCTACTTTCTAATTTTCAATGAAAATTAAAAAGAAAAATGGATTCATTACGTTTCATTTCAAAGGTATCGAAAAAAGAAATCAGTCAGCTACATATTGGCCACCCTTTAAAGCAAAAGCATCAACTGTAGCAGTACATGGCAGCTGATGAATCTAAAATGTAAAAATGGTTTCAGAAATTGTCCGTTTTAGTAGTATAAGTCTTAGGGACCAGCATGTTATAGAGGCGCAAAAGCTCTCTCTATTTCGCCGAAATGTACCATTTTTCTCTCATCGATTCAAAGCTAGTTTCTAACCAGACAACAACTTTAACTGTATATAGAAAATGGTAACAGTAGGGCATGCCAAGTGTAGCAATGATGATGTCATCTCCCACTTACCCGAACCAAGATTCTGAAGGTACCCTTCAGTGCATATACCTGCGTCCCAAAGATCATACGTAAGCATCCTTCCAGGTATCCGAGATAGATGATCAGGTGACATCATCGAATGATAAATTGAGATGGAAGACTGCTTCTCATCACATCAATCGCGAAAATGTTATCTTCGGATCATCAGAATAAAACCACCGCACAACCGCATGTCAAACTTGTATTATGTTAATGAACACCTGCTGTTTTCATCACGGCAATCTTTTTCCACATCGCCGACTTTCGCATCTATTATCTTCTTTGCAAGCTATTCTTATGAATATATCATAATACTCCGTCGCGGTATCATGGATCATCCGCGCACAAGGTGAAATTGAAAGTTCCAACGAGCCGTGCAAATTGACAGTTAACTTTTAGTATTCATTGCCCTTGTAATGTCAGCCTCCGGGGGTTCTGATGATGTCATCGAGTATGATGTCATACGACTTAAATAGCTATTTATATAATAAGTTACGTTATGAGTGCCGTTTTGGCAGATAAAGTATATTTGACTAGTAACGCAGCATGTCAAACGCTTATTGGAGCGCGATTTTCCAGCTAATTTGTTTTTTACAACGAAGCTGCCTGAATGCCAGTGCTCGGGGAGCTTAAAGAAACTTTGTTAATCCAATTTTTCGTGCGGCCGTATAATGGAGGAGGGCTCTGAGGAGCAAAGCCCCTTGGCGTTGCGGTAGAAGAAAGCTAGATCACCGACTGCCCGTCGGTGCGAAAGGGTCCTGAAACTGTCAGTTAGAAAATAATCATTAATCAGTCATACAGTCCTCATCGTACATGTATAATGTAGTCGGGGCGGCAGCACCCCAAACATGTGAGCAGTACTCGATGCTAGTACGTATCTGAGCCTTGTACAGTGTGTGGTCATGTGGGGAAAAGTACTTCTTGGCCTTAACAAATAGCTGAGATTTTTCCCAACAGCAGCTGCTGTTAACGAGGTATGTTCATGTCAAATCAAGTCGGCAGTGAATTGGACTCTAACCAGCCGAAATGAACGGCCCTTTGGTAGAACCCGACAGAAACTGGATGAGCGCTAGGGCGCTTCTTGTTACTCAAGGTACAGTACTGTGTTTTGGAAGAATTAAACTGTACCAGATTGTTGGGTTATCAAGCAGTGATAAACTCCAGGTCTCTCGTCAGAGAGGAAATCGCTTCTAGCCTTCTTTTCTCCAGCTCGCAGGCAGAGATCGGCTTTTGACTCTGAATTCCTGCATGTAGAGTGCTGACATCAACAAAGCAGTGGATCGGATTGATCGCACGGGGTCGTTGATATGGAACAGCAACAATGTTGGAGTCAAGAACGATCCGTTTGATCTGAACACCCGCGTTGACGTTGTGGAATGAAGAGAACCCGTCAATTACAACGGATATCTTGCAGGCAGAGAGGAAGTCAACCACCCATCTGCAAAGCTTTTTTGTTAGGCCATAGGATGGAAGTTTTTATGAGAGGGCAGCATGCCACAGCTGATCGAACGCTTTCGTCATATCAGGTACAGCGACATGAGTCTCACCATAAGACTGAATGAGTTTAATCCACAGTTACGTGACGTAGGCTGATCGCTGATGACGAAAACCATACTGCCTGTCGCTAAGCAAGCCTTGACGTTCGAAGAGCCCTGGAAGCTCCCGATTTATGCACCTTTCCATCACCTCATTCATAATAGAAAGCAGAGCTGTAGACCTGTAGTTGCAATAATCGGTCTTGGATCCTTTTTTTGGGATGGAGTTTTTTGGGAAAGTGCCAAATCCGTAAGATACCTGGAAGAGATAGATGCGAAAGAACGGGAGCAAGCTCCGATGCACACCTCCTCACTACAGAGGAAGGAATCAAAATCGGACCAGAAACTCTGTTGATGTCGAGAGCGACTGCCATTGCGCTGCGACATTACCCTATGAATAATTTTTACATCGGACAGGTCTCTGGCATTGCAAACTGTTTCGTTATATTTGTTCCTCGACTCGACGTCGGCTTGTCTGTGCTCTACATCATAATATATTATCATATATTGTGAAATTTATCTCATGAGGCATAATCTGCGGCTGATCGTTGGTGTACATAAGAAATAATAACGGAGCCAAAATACACCAGATATATCGAGTTTGTTCTCTTTGACAAAGATATGACATTAAGCACTTACTGATTTAAGCCCTGTTCGTACAGCAGTCGCCAACCTGTCAGTGATTGTGTCCAAGATACCACCACACAAATTCCGTTCATTCTGCTACGATATATAGGCGGAATTCTCACTGCCGGATCCCAGATACTGTCACCAACAAGTCGCCGACCACTGTACGAGCAAACCTGTTGCCTCGTAATCCTCGAGGTCTAAGTAATCGACCAGATCGAAGGCCTTGCTCAAATCTGGGAGAGCCCTATGCAGTTTTCCCCGCTCTCCAAAACAATATAAAATTTATAAATCAACAAAATTATTTCTGATTAAGTATATGCTTCTTTCGAAAGCCACGCTGAGATGAAGTAAATTAATATGTATATCGTTTAATATAGTTGATAGTGTCCCATATAAATTCTCTACTCCCTTCTTGTATACTGGGAAGACTCTAGCTGTCTTGAATATATCCTGAAAAACAGCACGTAATTAAATATTTAAGAGGATACTGTACGTTTTTTCAAAGTTCAGAGTTTTATAATGTTAGTTTGTTTCTGCTATTTCGATTTTCACTATCAAGCCTAGATTCGACGCTTGAATGTATGTTTTTGGTAGTAGGATTTTGCAAGCAGTTTTAGTGCATTTTAATTTTGTGCTGCATGAATTTGACATTCTATTTGATGTAAAACTTTCTTCTGTATTCCAGATGACGACTCACCGGCGGCGTCGACTTGCACAGAGTGCCGGCATCGGCGGAGGCGGAGGCTCTTCCTCGACGACGGGGCCGAGCGGCGGCACCTCTTCCTCGTGGACATCATCTCCAGCGTGGTCCCCCAGCACCTGGACCGGTTGCAGTTCGGAGCACAGGCGCGCGTGCGCAGTAGCCGCCGCGGTGGCTCTAACACTCGCGCTCCTTGCCGATGGGGCCGGCGGGGCCGCGCTGGCCCCCAGGAGGCACCAACATCAGCACCAGCACCACGTTCACCACCATCTCACCAAAAGGTCATTTGCTGACCTCCGCTGTCGCGGTGTCTACGACAAGAGCATCTTTGCACGGCTGGACCGCATCTGCGAGGATTGCTATAATCTGTTTCGGGAGCCCTCCATACATTCGTTATGCAGGTATATATTTAAACAATATTTTTCTTTGTAATCCTGTAGTATGAACTAGGAAAAGTACATAGTTTCACAAGTAGTAGTAGTGGTGAGCAGGCGAAGCCTGGCAACTAGGACACCTGAGACCATTGTCGTCGACCCCCCCGTAGTACCAACACTGTACTACGCCACGAGCCATCTACTGGTAACTGATATAACAAACCAGCTGCAGCGATGAGATGTACCAGTAGCTATTATTGCATCTAGGTGCGTGATATAGACAACACGCAACACAACATCCAAAGCACGGAATTGACTTTCGAGGAGGAGAATCGAGCCCCGATTTGCTAGCTCGTCGCTCTAACCTCCGAGCTACCAAGGCTGCATCACCTTCAGTCCTTCACTATGTTTTTTATCGTAGTTGTACTAGAATATAGTCGAAATCACGAAAGAAGACTATTACGTCATCATTTTAGTCACTAGTAAAGACAAACTACAGCGATTTGTGGCTATTTTTAATGAAGTTTCAGATATGTTAGACAGAGACAAACAGAATTTTATTGTCTAAACAAACTGTATTGCTAATTTGCATGTATCCGACAAAAAAAGACGCTGTTTTCATGTTGCATGATCGATCATATTTGAAAGATGAATAGTTAGGTTATGTTAAAGCAGGTTAGGTTGTTTTCGAATAATACTTTGGTCTTTGGTGTTCCTGTCTTAAGGTATTCTACTCTACTGTTTTTTTCAAAACAAAAACTCCTCACTAAAATTATTATTAAGGTATCACTCAAAACCATGAAATAAAATGGAAATAAAAATAAACAGTGAAATAACCTAACTTCGCAAAATCGTAATATAAATTTGGTGTCATTGTGTTCCTGACATCGTGATTTTATCATCGGCGTACGTCCATTGATTACTTCAGTACAATTTATGGTATGATGTAATAGTCATCTTTCGCGATTTTGACTAAATCAGCACAAACACTACTAACGAATGAAAATAGATGTTTCGAGTCAGTACGTCAATTTGTCCTGGAATGTCTTTGGTCTTTGGTAGGTTTATATTACAATACAATGTATCTCAATTCCGTCTAGGGCCGGAGATGTTAAAGGCAACCGGGACAGTTGTTGCCCTAAATCAGAGCCCAAAAACATGGCTTCAGGGTTACAAGAATAGAAGAAAATGCTTTTTTGGCATTCATGAATGCTAACGCCTTCCCGACCCTGAGGCTTAAGGAGTCCCATGAACTTGCTGGCGCTCCCTCAGTGATTAGCCTTTGGGGTGTCCGGTAGACATAGCGAATACTTTTATTTATTATTTGTCATAGTTCAGGGCAGCATATGTTTATATCCGAAAAAATCTTCAGGTTGACCTCAATTTAAAATCTGAATAGAGGAAAACAACTTAGTGTTGTCAGGACAATTTAAGGGCAGATTCAGCTCGCGAAAATATAACCACAACCACGCGGCCGGTTATAGCCACTTGCTGTGGTACTTCAAGCCCAAAGAATCTACAAAGAGAAAATTATCATGCGGAGAAAGGTATATAACAAAAATAGGAAAATAATGGACAAAATCCGTTATTTGTCGCCTTGAAAATTCGAGGTCTTCTAGCCATTGTATACTACAATGTGTAGGTTGGCTCTTGTTGTGGACTTCCTGTGTCTTTTTTTCCTCTTCATCTTTGTTTCCTCAGGTTACACCCGTATCCGGATGTATGGCCATGTGTCTCTACTTTTGTAGTTGCATATGTGCATTCATTTCGGGCCTGATGAAGCCAACCAGCAGAAATACGTATCGCTCGGGTTACCTATCCTATTTTCTGCTCGAATCCACTTTTTGCGGATTTTGTCCATTATTTTCCTATTTTTGTTATATAACTGCCGCATGATAATTTTCTCTTTGTATATATATATATATATATATATAGGAGCGTTATGCCTGGAATTGTTTTTTCCAGGCAGTTTTACACCAGAGCTCCAAGAAATGGGGCTCTCGTGAACGGATACCGTCATTGCTGCAATCTGAGTAACTTTTTTTATGTAAAGCTTAAATAGTGAGTTCCTGGTTCTGTCAAAACCTAGGTACGTCTTTTTTATATCATTGCACTAGATGGAAAATTCTACTTGAAGTTGTTGGCGTGGAAGTATAGTCAATCTACTTGACACCATTTTTTCGCTAAACATGGCATCTTACAGGAACGGACGCCAAAGATGTAAGTGCATTAGCACATGTAAAGGTAACCTTCGAGAATACTCTTGCGTATACCATGCCACTTTTCAATATGTTAATATGTAAGGCGAACAATCAAAGACGAGAAATATTAAACACACGTATTTTGAAAACGTATTTCCGGATCTATGTTCATGTAACATCGAGACCAAATATTTCAAAACAGAGACTGTGGATTTTCTTCAAATTTATTTCTTGTGAAAATTGAAACTATGTACCTATATGGGAATTACATAAGATGTTAAGATCTCTGGAACTTCGCAAAAACATGTATCACTCTTAAGCTTTGGTACGATCAATTTCACGGCTTCAGAAATTTCAACAGAAATTATAGATTGAGAAATGTTTTACCATGTATACTTTTCTCAACGAGTGAGCATCAATGATTGACTTATCAATTTCCATTTGTAAGAACGGCGGCTTCTGAATAATTTTTTCATGATGAAACCGTTACCGCAGTAGTGAAACAATAGTGCATTTGCGTAACGTATCCTTAAGCTGTCACGTACATATCCTATCCATATTAATTGTTTCCTGGATAGCGTAAATAAGTACCACATATTCACATGAACACATTGAAAGAGAATAGTATCTAGACTGCGTGTCAGCACCAGTGCATCTATAAACAATACCCCAGTCGATCGGATGACATTTTCCCAAAGAGTAACACAAATGCATTTTAAACGGAAATCTCAACAGAAAATGTATTTCCAAGGTAGAATGGACGCGCTCGAGTGAGACTTACACGTGGTCGTCGTAAATGTCAGGACTTGGCCTGCTTTGATGTGCCGAGTTCGAGAGCCCCAGAGCTTAATTTATTGTTAGGCTTCTTATGCACCACAAAGTATCCGTCATGTTTGTTAGCGTATGCAAATTCGGCAAGCCATAATCCAAAGTACGCCTAAACAAACTTATCCTGTAGTTATCATGCTAATAGATAGATAAATATGTAATGATCACATTAAATACATGTGACAAGTAAAAGAAGGAAAAAATGATTGATCCGCAAGAAATATTAAAAATTACAATTAAAAAAAGAAGTAAGACCTACACTATAAAAGCAGCTTTGGCAAGCAATTTATTTACTTTGTGCTTAAACTCATTAAAACTTGTGATTTCCCATAGATATTTTGGTAAATTGTTAAATAGGTAGATAGGTAAACTACAGATCTTTCATATGATCTGTTTGTTTTATGCCTAGGAAAGCTTGAAAGCGTACTGCGTGTTGTATAGTTGTGGTTACTTCCAAGGAGAGTAAAACCATCAGGGTTACTTTTCACAAATGTTATACATTTTAATATGCAAATTGATGATAGTGTTAGAATTCCGTATTCTTTAAACGTTTTCCTGCATGACTCATTATAAACAAAAAATGAGCCTTATTATTTTTTTTAGTTAAAAATACCATCTTAATCTCAGTAGATACTCCCCAAGTGGCAATGTCAAAAGAGTATCTTGGCTTAAGAGGGGTTTCAATGAAAATAGCAATTTTATGCAGACATGATTTATGTGACTAGTAACCTTGAGATCATAGTCTAAAAAAGTACCTTATAGCTTTACACTGGATTGAACATATATCCTACTGCCATTAAAAGTATGGTCTGGTAGTTTTAATAAAAAAAAAGTATAAATGTTGTTTTATCCTTATTTAGTATTAGCTGAGTTTTTTACACTAGGACTCCATCTCAGACATAACGTTGATTATTATCCCTTTCGTCGCTTCTGGGGATTACCCATACAGGTTATTGAAGACAATTTAGCACCGGAAATTTGAAATTATGATAGTTGTCTTATTTTTTGGCAAAATGTTTTTTGGAATATATCCAGACTTGTGATCGTATCGTAAATCGTGCAACGTGCCATATTGTGGAAGACTTTTATCCTCGCGAAATTCTGGATTATTAACTTCTCTCCTAAAATTAGAGTACAGTTTTGGATTTTGCTGGAAAATATCCAGATTACCGTTAATTATGGAACACCTAGCTCAAACATTAGGACGACGACGGTCTTACTGTCCGATTCAAACGGATTTCTAAAAAGCTTCAAAATGCAATAATAATAATAAATAACAATATTTATTCACTCACTGTACAAAGTAAACAACAATATGGAATAAAAACAAATCCAATAGGAGGCATTGCCTGTGGTTGGACCAATAATTAAATAAAACTGTAGAATACAAATTACAAAAAAGGGCAAAAGTTAGTCATAGTAGATTATGTAATTATTTGATGTTCGTATTTATAAATTTCAGTCTTAGGTATAGAATGTAGCCACTTTTTCAAATTTCTTTTGAAATAATTTCCGAAATGTAACTCTTTAGGTATAATGATTATGTTTAATTTTTTGATCGGTGTTGATAAATTTATGGTACTGAGTGGTACTGAGTAAGCAATAAAGCTGTCTTATGGGATAAAGTGTCGATTGTTTGAACATCATTTGTCGAATACTTTTTTGAAAAATATCCAAAATATAGATATGTGATGAACGTGTCCCCATGCTTATATACCATATATGTCAGATGATGCTCAATCAGTGTATGGTATAATGGACGAAGATAAATTGCTGTTAATATATTCGCAAGGTATTTTCGTTTGTACGATTCAAATCTAACTTTCTTTAAAATATAATTGACATGGATGTCCCAACGTAAGTGAGAATCCAGTGCTTTTCCAAAGTATTTTATTTTTTACTGTCTATTAATTTGCAGTTTTTGATAAATTTTGATAAATCGGTTGTTTGAGAACTTTCTGTAATTAGGAAAATGTCTAGCATAGGATGCAAATGGTA